CTGAAGTTGGCTTTGAACTCAAGATCTACTGCCTCAGCTCAGGCTCCTGAGCTGCTGCGATTACAGGCATGAGCTGCCATGCCTAGCTCTCAATCTGCCTCTGGAGAGGCATGCTCACAGTCCTGGGTTCTCTGACTTGTGCACTTGGTTACTACACCCCCTTAGGGTGCTGGTCTGGTCTTGTTTGTTCACTGCTATGTCTGAGTCCTAGATAGTGTCTGGCACTAAGGTGCTTAATAAAGTTTTGTAAAAATTGATGGCCGAATGAATCAGAAGATCTTGCAATAAATAGTACCAGCAAGAAACCACAAGGGCCAGGGCTAGGGAATGATGCAGAGAAAGGGTCAAAGTCTTTCAGACATCAAACTTCTAAATGTGGGAACCCGGGAAAGATAAGGGAGTCCAGGACAACTCTACATTTATAACTTCACAGACACTGCTGTTTGTAGAGGTGGAGAAACAAAGGATTTTTGTTTGGGGGAAGAAAATAAGGGGTTCATGTAGGACTCGGTTGCATTTAGGGTGCAGGCTTCAGCTGTGATATGTCAGGTATAGAGGTCCCTCTGCATCACTGTATCTAGCTGCTAGGGGAAACAGCTACCTACCTGCTTTAGAATACAGAATGGAGGGTCTTTGGAAACAGGGACAGATCTTTTATCTGTTATTTACATCCCTACTAGAGTGTGGGACATACAGAAAGCCTCAAATGAATGAATGAAATTGAAGGTGAAAACCAGGAAGCCAGGCAGGCAGGCAGGCAGGCAGCTGTGGGCCTTGGAAGAAAGCACCAGGGTGAATCATAGGCAGGTCATAAACTGACCAGGGAGGTCTGAATAGGACATAACAATGATTTGGAGAGGACAGGGAAGGAGGAGTCAAGGGATGACACTGAGGAGGAACAGAGACATTCTGGCGATACCCAGACAGCCACCAGCAACATTGTGCAGGAAGTATCCAGGAAGTCTATTATGATACTGGTATAACAGTGCTGCTCAAATTGAGAAAGATGTATAGCAAAGAGAAGGAAGAATAGGGGTGAGGGGACTCCAACAAAGCTTACTTATGAATATGGATACAAAAATCTGAAAGAGCAAACAGAATTACAACAATACTTTTTTTAAAAGGATCACAACCAGGTGAATTATAGTACAGGAATCCAAGGATGGGTAAATGAAAAGAAATATCCAACTCAAAAAAATTTTAGAAAAATAACTCAAATTATAAAGACAAAAGCAAAATGTATCAAGTCATAACAAAAAACAATATAAATCATACATAAAATTATTGGAGGAAAAAATGAATAAACCACTAGTTAAACTAGAGGTGAAAAAGAGGGAAATGTTACAAAGAATTAAAGTAATAACTAATGAAAGACCAACTTTAAAACATTCATTAGATACTTTGTCTTTCCTAATTTTCTAAGTCAGATGAAAAATACAACTTCTTAGGCAATTATAATTGAGAAAATTGATCCCGTTAGGGAAAAGTTTATTATTTTTTTTATTTTTTTCTGATAATAGGGATTGAACCCAGGGGTATTCTACTGAGCTACATCCATAGCTGTTTTTTTAAATTTTTGAGAAATGGTCTTGCTAAGTTGTCGGGGCTGGCCTTGAACCTGCCATCCTCCTGCTTTGGCCTCCTGAGTAGCTTGGATTACAGGTATGCACCACCATTCCTAGCTAGGAAGTTTAAACAAATTGCCATAAGAAAAAACATTAAGACACCAAAGGTCTCCCCCACTCTTTATCCTCCCCTATCATACTGTCACAGGTCTACACAATTTCCCAAGGGAATTCTAACAAGCCTTCAAAGGCAATGAATGAAATGCCATGTGAACTTCTCCAGTATGTGAAGAAAAAACTTAAAGTATTTTTTATGAAGCATGAATAAAACTGATACCTAAACATGTACTTCATGCATCCACACCCACCCACCCACCCAGCCCAAGGAAAGCACAGCACTCACAGCAGCATCGTTTGCCATGGCGCACAACTGTAAAACAGCCAACATCCATCAAGATAAATAAAGGTGATATATTAGTGAAAATGAACAAACTAGGTTTCCCCATTTTGGTGTCCGTCTCAAAAATGTTGAGAAAAGGGGCACAAAGTAGAAGGATCCAAATATGATTTTGTTTATAAGGAGCTTGCAAACTGGCAATATATTGTTTAGGGACAGACTGGGAGGAGGTAACTAAAGCATCTGGTCTGGGGTCCTTACAGTCCTTAGAGGATAGATGCTTCTGGGGAAAGAGACAGCCAGGTGATGGCAGTTAATCTAAGTGTGCTAACAACTGGAATACCTAAAAAATAAGACTACAAATATTTGTTTTGAGTTCTTATTCCTGGAATGCCCTTAACAAGATGTTCCTAAGAATAAATAAACCCAGAATGTATGGGTGTATGAACTATGAATCTGAGAAAGGATGTGAAAATATTTCATAACTGAATGTTCTTCGCTGGGCGAGGTGACCCGGAAACTTCAGGGATCTTGTCTGTTATTATTGGTCAAAGTACATGTCTGATACATGAGGAAAGGACCTGGGGAGTCACAAGGGATGTCTCAGACTGCTCCCAGCTTCACATGCACCTCAATAGCCTGCATTCTTAAAATTATTAGTACAGTTAGTGGGCAAGATCTGTGGTCAATTCTGACTTGCTAATCTGATCCTTTGTGTTAGCTCACAGATTAAGCTGCTTTTAGGTAAAGTGATAAAAAGATAATTTTGAGGTGGGGGTAGTGGGATGACATCAAAGGGGCTATCTGGGATGCTTCCAAGCAGTAATTTTCTAGTTCTTGAAGCTATTGCATAGATGGTTGTCTTACTTTCTTTAAATGATCTATAAATGCTACATTTGTCAATGATAAATACTTGATGCTCAAATATAAATTTGGCAAAAACACAGCAACTTTTAAAAACTTGGGCATAGAGGGAGAGGGGAAGATGGGGAGGCACCCCTACAGGCAAGAAACAAAATGCACCTGAGCAGGAAGAAGTTTCTAGTGCCCTGGAGCACATATCAAGGCTACTCTAATACTCTGCCCAGTGGTTTATTAAGGGTACTTTCACACGCATCATGCCATCTTCTAGATATATAAGCACCCTATAGAATCCAAAGCTGGGATTTTCTGCACCTCTGATGGAGCAGAGTCTCAGAGATAGAAGTTTGGACCAGGGTGGAGAAGGGCCGAGGGAAAGGAGATAACCAAAGTCTGTCTTCTGCTTTCATGTAAACCAGTTCCCTGTAACTCCCATCCTCCTACAGTTTATTATTCTTTCCTGCTGTTTTAGGAACCATGAGAACATACCCCTCCACCACCTGATTTACAGTGCTACAGGTTAGTAGGGAAAAACAGAAATCTTAGCTGGAGAAGATGCCTAAACGATGGGCACAAAGATCTGACCAGATGAGCAGATGTGGGGAGCTTTCAGTTCTGCAAGCAAGTATCTGGCGTTCAATTTCTTCTCCAGAGTATATAAATACAATTCTGCTGTTCCTCGAGTTATTATGACACTTAACTTGCAGAAAATAATGAGTTACATGTCAATGTCTCCATTTCCACCTCATAAAGATCACAATGGAACCATTAAACTGAGAAATCTCTCCCCTAGAACTCTAGTTATACATAATAATTAAGAATGAAGAAGTTTGTCGTAACATTTATAATTGAAACTTCAGAAATAATTGAAATGTGAAAAACTAGAGAATTGATTATATGTATTAAGGTACATGCACTCAGGCAGAATATTAGAATCTTTTCCCCCCAACTCAACAGGCCATGAAACCAAGCTACATAATCTAAAGCAGAGCTGGGATCAGCTACACAAGGCCCACGCTCACAAGGGACCTGCGGTTGATTTAATGAGCTTCTGTTCCTATAAATTTTATCTGTAACCGTGTGATGCGAGTCCAGTAGCACCCAGGAGCATGCTTGTAGGCAGAGGAGATAGGTACCATATCCACATCTGCGATTCCTGTCGCTCATGAGCATAGGATCAGGTAGACCTAAGATATGTGAGAGTGAGACAGACCCACAGCTAAGCAAGCAGGGGTGCCAACAGCTCTGGGAGCTGACTGCAGAGAGAAAACACCCCGAGCGCCTCTATCGCTTTGTTACTTCCCCATATTAAGTCAATGGCTTATCTTGAAACAATGAGAAAACATGACAAGACAGAGCAACCCAGAGATCCTTTTTCTTTCAACCCTGCTTCACTCATCAGTAAACTGAAGGCAGAACATTGGTAGAATGCACAGAATGAGAAATGAAATGAAAATAGTCCAGTTGATTTTGTACAGCATTTCCCCTGTTGTGGTTAAGAATGAAATACGTGTACACAGGGGCTACGAATTATGAGTGGGACAATTTTGCCGATTCTGCCCACAAGTTTAAAGCCCTTATATTTGCATTTTAAACTGACATTGCATAATACAAAGATGAGCAGTAATATTCCCAATAAATTTTAATTTTTCCTTATGATGTAATGTAGCAAAAAAAAACCCCCAAAAAACAAAAAAAAATATAAAACCACACAGAAGGTGAGAGATCATAAAGGCAGGAAAAAAAAATGAGTATCTTTAAAAGCACTTTTTATCCCCACAAAATGGCCCCGATTTCCACTGGGACCTACAAATTATGTAGCTGGATCTCTCTCATTGACACACTCCCCCAACCCCTTACTCCTTGACTGAAGGTGCCGACAGGGTCCATGTTCTAAAAAATAAAAGAGCTCCAAGTTTCCCCTACATCAAAGGTCTTAGACTTAAATATCAGGGCCTCCTGGAAAGGCTGTTACAGAACAGATCGCTGGGCCCACGCTCAGAATTTGATTTAATAGGCCTGCAGGGGCCTGAGAACTCGCATTTTGAGCAAATTCCCCTCAATTGATGTGGATGCTCTTATGCCACACCCAGAACCCCTGGTCCACAGCGCACGTGACTTCTGCCCTTGACATTTGCTGAAGCTGAAGATGACTTACAAATGACATGTTCTATTACCTCGTAAATGTTAAATTGCTCCACTAAGTCCAGGTCAGTTCCCTTCTTGTTCAGATGCCTCTGGGACACAGCAGCAATACCCAGCTCCTCCAGACAATCCACCACGTCGTAGAAGGAGTCTTGGTCTGGCAATCCTGACAACGTCTGGAGAAAGAAGAACCCAATACAGACACGACTTAAGAGACAGTCACAAGGTTCTGAAAGCATTTTTACATGTTAGCCAGTGGCCTTTGATTATAACAATATAGAACAAGCAGATGGCACATTCATTTCAGGAGGGCGAGAAAACTCCTTAATGTGAGGGGTGGGATAAAGCCCAAGATTCCTGCTTCTCTTCCCTTGAATATGGGCTCAATACTCATACAGTGGGGTGTCACATCATTGTAAGCTCATGTTATGCAGCAAAGCAAAGGGATTTTGCAGGTGTCATTAAGTTCCCCAAATCAGTCGATTCTGAGTTAATCAAAGGGGAGATTGTTCTGAATAATAATCCAGTGAGTCCTTCAAAAGAGGGCTTAGGTCTTCACTGACTCAGAGACCAGAAACAGATTATCCTCCTGGTCTCTAGGGAGGAGCAAGACCCCCGTGGGTTCTTTGGCTGTGAGGAAATGAATTCTGCCAATATTCATAAGAACTTGGAAGAGGATCAAGTCTCAGAGGGGACCACAGCCCCGGCCGACACCTAGATTGCAGCCCTCTGGGACCCTGGCTAGGTTTATGCTGGCCTTCTGCCTCACAGGATCTGTGAGATAGTAAAAGCATGCCATCCTAGTAACTAAATTTCTGTCACATGACAATAGAAAACTAATATACCTTGGGATTACTCCTAGTATAATCAATACACCAACAGCTGGTGTTATAATAATTTAGTGATTCCCTTTTAATTCAGCAGGGCCTCCTCTCACTCTATGAAACTCAGAAAAACAAGAGAAATTTAAAAGTGGCAACCATAAGACAAACACATAACCTGAGAAAAAGCCAACTCCTCTTTGAATTCTGCCTTTCTTCAAAGGAGGAGGATGGCTCAGACCAGGTCCCTGCTCAGAAGTGGGAGGGAGCCTTGGGGAAAACTACTTCAAGCCACTAGTCTTATCAGGGAGGGGGAGAGGGGTCCAAGGAAAGACAGGATCTGCCTGAGGCAAGAGGAAGTCCTTGGATAAAATCCCAGCTCAGAGCTGCCATTAGGTCTCCACTTCATGCACACACCTGCATTCTGCAGGAGTTATTCTGGGCTGAAAGTTCAGATACTGGTCTCCATTCCCTACCTACTTCACCACCTTTGCATTTCTGAGAACACTGCATGCTTTCCAAAGTGACTCTGAAGGAGGTTTAACTTGCCTCAGAAGACCTTAGATCAAGGCTTCTAAAGCCTCATTTCCAGCCCTAATTCTGACATCTATTTTGGGGCTGTCAAGGACTGGAAGGGAAATCTACCAATAACCCCCAAAATGGCTTATTCCTCTTTATTCTGTAAGAGAATACTACACATTGCAACTGGTGTATATGTGTAATAAAAATTGTAATGCATTCCGCTGTCATTTATTTTTTGAAAAATTAAAAAAAATAAAACAGTGGAGAAAAAAAGATTAGGAACTCATGAAAAAAGGCTTGTGTGGTAGTGAATTACTCCAGTAAAAGGTACAGTTTGGGTATGAGAGAGGAGCCTGTAAATCAGCTGTAGTAAACAGATTCTCACATGTGCATGGCCAAGCATGAACCCAGGGCAACTGATGTGACAGTCAACACTGCATAACCAGTAGCAAGAGTCACCCAAGCGCTTGCTTCTATCATGAACCAAGAAATCACAAAGAATCCCATTTTCAGCTGGGCTCAGTGGTGCAAGCCTGCAATCCCTGAGACTCGGGACGCAAAGGTAGCAGGATCTCAAGTTCAAGATCAGCCTCAGCCACTTAGCAAGGCTAAGCAATTAAAAAGATGTAGCTCAGAACTGAAGTTCAGTTCCCACTACCAAGAAAGTTTAATAATCCTATCAGGACAATTATCCTCTGGTTCCAACAAGAACTCTAGAACTTCTTAAAATGGCAATACCAGTCCCAGGATCAGGGGACAAATAGAGATGCCCTACTGCCTATAGACCCTGTAAAATATACAACTTGGAGAAAGCAGGCACTTCAACATTTAGAATCAGAATTAAGACTTTCTACACAGCCAGAAGGATGTCTCTGCCTCTCCACTCCCCTTCCTCCTGACCTGAAATCAGCTGACCTTCTTTCACTCTGAAGTTTCCAGGGGATTAAAATCCTAGACCTAATCTCCATCGCTTCAGTGAGTCCAACCATGAAGGGTAGGGGGATCACTATTAAGTAATTAAACAACTAAATCTATAGACCAAAACAGACTCCAGGAGCCTTCACTCAATAATAGGCACAAAATCAAAGGTATTGAAAGGTCATTTGTCATTTCCGCTGTGAAAATCTGAGCCAAGCCTGGGGACTCCAGCTCTCATGCCTGGCTGTAGGGGAGATGCTGGTCCTTCCACCACAAATACAAACAGCTTCCTTTTCCGCCTATGATGGGGGGTGGGGAGACTTCCCAGAAACATGCATTTATCTACTTTCAGCTGATTCTCCAACAAGTTCAGTTAATTTACCAAGCTCCCACATGTCCCTGGGCCTCTCCTCCAAGTTCCACCCTGTCACCCTCACTGCCAGGCTGCCTGCGTTTGGTGAAGGTGACAGTTTTGCCAAATGACTCTGAAATTTCTTTCCACCTTTACCCTCAGATACCACAAGAGAGCCACCTGATACCTGGTGCTTCCAACTTCCACTTTCTGATTTTTGTCTTGGCAGGGCTTGTGACAAGGAATTCTTTACTGGAATCTCCTAAAGGGAAAGCATGTCCCAAAGGACATCCCCCACTCCTTGGGTTTTTATGGATTGCATCAAATCTTTTTTTGTAGAATAAAACCAGTGTGGCAAAGCCTACATGCCAATATTCCCAGCAGTGTCGTGCATGGGAGGGAAGCTTTATATACCGAACCCCCTTCCAGAGAAGGTATAAGCACACAGCATGTCTTCACAACAGAGACAGGACACAGAAGGATCTCTGGCATTATCCTGACAGTAGCCAGGCCTTCAAGGGGTATGACTGCATCTGACATTCTTGGAAAGACAAAACTGTAGTGATGAGAGAATAAACAAGGCCCCAAGAGTTACGGATAAGAGGGTCAGGAAGTCACTATGAAAGAACATGGGGAAAACGAAATCAGTCCCTTAACTGTGAAGGTGAGATCCATCCATCCGTACATTAAAACTCAAAGAGCTGTAGACCAAAAGGGAAAGTTCATTTTACTGTGTGCTCTTTAAAAAGTAACAAAATGTAAGAACACAGGCAAAAAACTCAGTATGAATGCCACATGGGTTAATTACTTCCTCGGCCTGGAAGCAGCTCCTCTCCCCAGGGCAGTCCCATAGTAACCTCTCCTATTATTCATGCCCCTGCATCTGCCTCATTTTACTTTACATTGATCCATACCCGAGACCCCCAGAATAGGGGAGTATCAAGGGGATTTCAGCTGGGTCAATACAGGGCATAATATCAGGGTAAGAAGGGGTTAATTTCTCACATTCCCTCTGATCTTTTGAAGCCCTGGTTGAGGACAAGGGACAGGGCAAGGGGTGGGGGGAAACGGGGGATAATGAGTCTGGTTAACATCCCTTAACAAAGAGGCCCACTTCAGTCTCAGAACCCTGGGCAGGCTAGGATTTGTTGTCCTTGTTTTTGCCATGAAAATGTCAAATTTATTTAATTCCACGTTATTACACCACCGTTTATTTTGCTGAAATCGATACAAGTTAGAAACCACCCAACTTGCAATATAATTTCCCAGATTTCAGAGTCTGCATTTTTTTTTCTTCCAGACCCATTTTAACATTTCAATTTGCTATTCTGTTTGGTATCTCAGAGCATCTTACTCACTGGGGCAATAAACACGCCTAACCCAGTATGAGTGGCAGCAGTCTCTTGACCTTTTTAAGGAAAGGGTTACCACTTGGAGGAGTATCCTCCAGGAGCTTTCTGGACTTGTCCTAAGCCAGAACAAAAAATGAGAACCGCCACAAGAAAAGGAGCAAGGGAGGCATTCCTGGACATTAAATGCCACAACATCCAGCAGAGGAGACACCTACTGTGTCCCATAGCACTGTGTCCTTGCCAGCAACTGACAAGAGCTCCCATGTCACCCAGGTGCTGTTGCAATCCTAAACACGACTGGGCATGGCCTCTTCCAATACAACAGACAATTTTATTGGTATGGATTGTGATGAACTGCAGGCAAGAGTATTTTCTATTTTTGCTGATTCTAATGTTTCAACAAAACAATGTCAGGGACAGAAAAAGGACAGGAAATAGAGGACCTTAATTTGAGGGGGAAAAAACCAGAAAATTGCTTCAAATCACATGAAGTTAGCACACAAATAGATTTTTAAGTGGCAGAATTCTTAAGGCTTTGCACCAGAAAAGTTGTGTGCATTTCCATTTCTCATTGGGACATATGAGAGTTTCCTATGGGCTCACCAACAAGGGACATCTCATTAAAAAGCAATCATTGTCATGTAGCTGCAGAAAAAAAGTTTTGATTCACTGAATTTTTTTTTTATTCTTAGTTGCTTTAATGTTTTTTCATTTTTCTACTAGGTTCTAAAATGTACTTAAGATTTTTTTTTTTTTTGGCCTTGCTTCTGGCAAACAATTTTGTAGTTTATCCTTTACCTTTTAGCATAGTTTGTGATTTTTCATTTCACAAACAAAACCATTAACAATTTTATGCAGTGACATTTAAATCCCTTCCATTGGAACCTTTTATTGATTTCATTAGTAAAAAGAATCTTCGTGAAAGTTGTCACTACCAAAATCGAATTATGTCAAACCTAAACAGAACGGAGCCAGGCCGCCACAAAAGATGGGCCTTCATGCACGTATACCCATGTTACGAACTATCCAAGGAATTCCTGAAAACTGCAGTGTTCCAGATAAGCTATTTGTTTAAGGATACTTGGCTAACAATGCTGTCTCCCCCAATGAGCTCGCTCCAACTCCTGCAACTAATGATCTTTGTTTCAGAACAGCCTACATGTGTTCTTCTAAACATAACCTCTTAGAACGTGCCTGTGACCTCCCATTGTGTGTGTATCCCAGACTGCAATCCCTTGCTATCCCAAATAAACTCCTTGTTCTTGCAAAGTCAGCCTGTCTCAATTTAAGTTGGCATCTTTACCAACTAGACAAATATAACTCCCCTTTTCTACATTTCCCCCCCCCCTCAAGTTTAATGGGCTACATTGAACTCTCGAGTCCCTTTGGGATTTATTGTGGTATCTAGTCAAAGAACAATTGTATTTCCACTTAGCAACACCTCCCCAGTCATGGAGGAAGCTACCCTGTCCAACTGTGTGGCAGGTTGTTCTGAACACTGGGGTCTGTTTCAGGCTCCTAAGCAGAGTCCACAGACTGCTGAGGAAACAGCAGATTACACCCTCAATCCTTCTAGTGGGCACATGTTACTACCGAGTGGGAGAAAGGGTTCCTTATAATTATACTGCTCTACGAATGCATCTTCGGTTCATCAGGAGAAACATCTCTCCAGTTACATGCCAGGATGGGATTCTGGATCTTTCTGAAGCCTTTATTATCACTACAGTTGGAAGGTTCCCACCCAACAAGCTGGAGCACATGAGGAAAGTCCACAGGATGGTTGACAAGGATGCCTTGGGTCCAGGGTATAACAATTCAAAAAAGGAGCTCCAGTCCCAAATCTGGTCCTTATGGGACCCCCTGCCTCAAAGCATCTCTAGGTCTAAGGACGGCTACTGCCCTGCAAGTAGTCAGTGACCAGAGAGGAACGTGAAGGGGAGACAGGAGTGCAAAGATGCAGTCATTCTCATATAAGGAGGATGGGATCCATTCACAGGAAACCTCATCTCAGCCCAAGGAATCCAAACTTAGTTCCCCATGGAACAAAAGACTTTTTTCCTGTTTTGTGAACTATTTCTTTAGAGTAAAATTGTTGATATTCTTAAGATATACCCTAAAATTACCTTAATAGGAATAACAATCACAAAATTTCTGCTGTCAACTTTCTCATTTTACTAGGAAAGACCAAAGCATAAAAGCATATAGACACCCACAGACCCTCATGGGCCCAGGCATCTGTGTGCATGCATCCACACACACCATGCACAGCCTGAAGGGCTTTCTCCTGTGAAGCAGCTGGGGTTCCAGTTGCCATGATGGGGGTCTCCACACAGTGTGGCTTGTGAAGGAAAAACTAGGTTTTTACATATTAGTATACAGACTATTAAAACAAGGTGCCATGAACTAGGTGGCTTAAAGCAGGAATTTGAAAATCTGCTATTAAGGCATCGGCAGTGCCATTGTGCCCTCTGAAGGCTCGATGGGAAGCGCCCTCTGAAGGCTCGATGGGAAGCTCCCTCCTTGCCTCGTCCTGGATGGTTGGTGGCCGTTCTCAGCACTTCTGGGCTCATATACATGTCATTCTAATCTCTGGGTCTTCACATGACTGTTTTCATTGCATGCATATGTTCACATCATCTTCCTTGTGTCTCTTTCCTCTCATGAAGACACCACACCAGATTAGAGTCTACCCTGATGACCTCATCATCACCAGATTACATCTGCTAAGAGCCTAATTTCAAATAAGGTCACATTTACCGGTACAGGGGTTAAGATGTGAATATATATCTTTTGAGGGCACAATTTGATACATAACACATCAACCAACCTTGTTCACCAAAGTCATTGCATAAACCAGCAGCTCCGTGTCAACGCCATCTTTTTCTTCCAGGATTTCCATGATATTTGACCAGGGCTTAATGCCTATGAGTGAAGCAAAAATCATTAGAAACAATAATTTGACAATATCCAGTTCACATCATAGTATATCCAAGGACTTTTCCCCCCCACCCACATCATAGCAGTGTCTTTTAACTGCCAAATTTTTGTGATAATATCCTGAGAGTGGACCTGAGCATGCTTAGAATTAAGATATCCTAGAGGCAACATTGTACCATATCAGCTTCATCCTGTTTAATCAAATATCATAAATTCTCCAGCATCAAGATGCTTATCTGCTCACTTGAAAGTTTCCCTTTATATCCAATATGCAGTTTTTAAAATTCTTTTCATGTGCAACTTTTTGGGCCATACACTTTACTCAGGTTGGGAAAACTCCCCCTAGGTGTTTTCTGAATGTCCCATGGCATGCAGAAGTTCTTCGTGCACTCTAGCAGTGACTCACCTATCTGACAAACATCTTAAAAAGAATGCTCCTCTAGTCCCTTGGTATCAGCCAGTTACAAAGTCTAGTGGGCAGCTGTCTGCAATAGGTTTACCATCTACAGGAGCAGTTAGACATAAGAATAAATATGGGCCCAGAACAGCTGAAGAGAGGCAGGCATTTAGCTAATCGCATCACTTAGTGAGGGAGGCATCTTGCAGTGGGAGTGGCTATAGAGGGCTTAGGACAAGAGGTGGCTCATGAGTGGCCTCTGTATGGGAAGGCCCATGAGCAGCTCTCCCCAGGCTCAGAGGTGGCAAGAAAATGCATCAAATTCAGGACCCACAAGGCAAGATTGCAAAGGGGGAAACACTCTCCTGACATGGCTTCCCACACCTGAGAGCAATGTTTGAAGTGAAGCAAGCATCGCCTTGCCCTTGGCTTCTTGGTTTGGGACCTGAAATTCTTTATAAAAGCCTCGAAGGGACACTGCTTATTTTTGCATGATGAAAGTAAAATTGAAATAACTTTAGTAGTTTCCAACTTCTGACCCTTGCATGGTTTATGTCACTCACAGCTGATTACAGCCTTGACATGCAAGTTTCCCAAGGTCAGAGAAATACCTGTCTTATTCATCTCTGTGCTCTTACCTGACACATAATGTGTTCAATAAAATGCTGAAGAGTAATAAAGATTTCTGTAGGAAGTGGGTAAAGCTAGAGCAATTTTAAAAGAATGAGACAGCAGATGCACACAGTAAGGAAATAAGAGGATTAAAGACGTGAGACAGATTCAGTTTCACATTGAGATCTTCTGGCTCTCCCACCAAGTGATACTCAAAGTCTTATCAAGTCACTCTTCCATTACCTTTTAAACTGAGCATAAAGGCATGCTCCATTCCCTTGCTAGTAGGCAAATTATCCTGGCTGATATTGAAGTTCTTTTAAATCTACACCACAGCGTAGTTGTTCTTTAACCCTACCAAAGTAACAGTCAATCAATGCAGTCAGTAGGCCTATGGTCTCACTATCCAGGTGCAGCTCAAGAGCTGAGTGCCTCTGCTCTTGCTTATCATTCACACACAGCACCAAACCTCAGCATAAAACATGTCAGAGTGTTACCCACTTGTGGTTAAAAGGAACATAGCGTAAGGGAGAACACACTGGAGCCAAGAATTTCTAGTAGTACTAGCAGACCCAGAACTGCTTCCTGGTTTCTTACTTTGAAGCTAAAGAGGCAACAGGGCTCAGAAAAAGTCAAGTAGCAGAGGCCTGCAGCCCAGAGTAGCCAGACTACAGCCCCCCCCATCCCACGGACACATACGTGTGTGTGCGCTGCGTGCGTGCACATCATCTAATCCATTATGATTAGAACACTCAAACACGAGCTTACTTTAACTGAGAAAAGTGTTATCCATCTATGGTTCCCGATTCTATTATCATTTAAGGATTTTAAGTCTGGGAACATGCATATATTTACATGCTGCTGGGATGAATGCTCTCTTCCCTTTGATAGTTTGGTACCATTTAGAATGAAGGCGAAGGGGAGAAAACATTGGGTTTAACAAAAACAACTTTGGTGGGGTGTAGGCTAGACCTGTGTAAAGCACCAGCACTTGGGACTCTTAGGAGCTGCTCCATCAGTACCAATTAGTCTAAGTTCATCCTCCATCTTCCACACTATGTGTGTTGGGGGCATTTTTGTATCGAAATAAGCCCTTCAACCCCACCCCTTTACGTAAGACAAACTGGGCCCCAGAGCAGTGGAATGAAGGTCAAGTCAGAAGACTCATGTAGAAGCATCTACCTTGCAGTATTTCTTCAAGGTGTCACTGAGAAAAAAAAAAAAAGCACTTTGTCTTTTCCTTAGCAATGACAGGATAGTTGGAAAACAGTTATTATCTGTCTCTCCCTGCCCCGACTCCCCAAATGCTGGAGTACAGGCTCTGTAAGCCTGTCATTTCTTGATGTCTGCATACGCATGGCGGATACTTGCCAAATAACTGAGTATACATGAAGATATGGAGAATCATGTTACACAACAGGCACTTGAACATCAGTGGCTATAATTATGATGGTAGTGGTTTGTGGTGACATCCACGGTTACCCAAGGGCGGACCTTCTACAGACTCCTGAGCCAGCCCTCTCGTTTCACCAAAGCACAGGGCCTCTCTTAACCCAGAATAAATAAGCAGAGAGAAATGGCTCAGGACTTTCCTACTCGCCTCTGTTAAAACTAAAGCAAAATAAGACAGCAGCACAATTCACACGCAAGCTGGCCTAACACTTGAACAGAAGATTCTCTTGGTGTGCTCCATGCCTTTCTCCATAATGGATATACACCCCAGAGGCATTTCTGTAAAGGACAGCGGAGATGGAGCTGGAGTTCTGTCAACCTCGAGTTTCCACCAGGCTTTGAACATTCCTCACCCATCAGTATGTTCTCAAGCAGAAACAGATCGCCTAAAAGGATGGCCGAACTCCACCCTCCCAACCCCGTTAATCATGTGTGACACATGTTTAAGAATTATGTCATATCTCATCACTTTACATTCAAATGAAAAACAGAACTTCAAAAGCTATGCTGAGCCAAGTTAATATGACCTGAGATTTATGACAGAAATTTTGAAATGAGTTACCCTGTCTGGTTCCTTGCCCCATCCTCTGTGGGAGAGGCAAACGGAGGGGAGGTCCTCTGCTCAGGGAGCAGCGAGTTCTTGACCAACACCCTGTCAGTCACCATAGGGAAGACCTCAAAGAAAAGGAGTCTCTGATATAGTAACAAAGTGAAGCCCCCTCAAGGGCTACCAGGAGCTCTGCTGCCTTTCTTCCCACCAGGCCAGGCCTGTCACCAGAAGGGAAAAGTGGTTGAAAATGCAAACAGAAGAGAAGATGATCTAGGGGACCCAGCAAATAGGCGCAATAACAAGCCATGCCCAGGAACTAACTTCAATTAACCTTTTTACTCTAGCTCTTGAACGGAAGTCCAATTGCCTGGGTCAAATGAGGTAATATAAATTTTCAGTCATTCATAAATAATAATTACTACCCATACGGAATTTGACCACCTCAGGTTTTATCCCTGTTCTTTAAGTGGCCCACTCTAGGCCACAGAGCAAACTGGCTACACTGTGAATGAGCCTTCTGGTTAAACCACAGGCAACCACGCATGATGTTTGTAGAGCAATCAGAGGACTCTGTTCCGGGCTAACTGCATTTGCTTGAGGTGGTAATGATGTTTGAGGACCTATAGTTTATTTTGTTGGTTTTATGTGCTGATTCCTTGAATCTGACAGTTTTTCTAGTCTGAAAAAAAAAAAAAAAAAAGGATTGTCTATAGCATGCCATTCACCCTGCTGGGGAAGGAATCTAAAGCCACTCTGAGTAAAATTTATGGCTTGTTTGTATATGTGTGCACAAAGAGACATGCTCAGTTTGTCCCTGGTCACCTCTGGCACCTGGGGCTGCTCTCTGGTCCATGTGAGAACTGGAGAGCTGCCTCTAAATCCTAGGTGGAAACACACCTGGCAGTCATGTTGCTCTCTGCAGAAAACCATGACATATTTATGTTTAATTCCATCATAGGATTCTGGAATAATTTTATTAGCAGTAAAATAGGATGATGTTATATGTATGTATTATAAAATCACAGCCAAGACCACCCATGTCCATAAAGAAACATGCTATTGAACCACGTGTGATAAGCTATTTCTGAGTTCCATTAGTGTTTTTTTTTTTTTCATTGCTAGTGCAGTAGCAGACAGATGATAGCAGTTGGCAAAAGTATAAGACATTTTATGGGCAGAAAACCCCACAAAACTGAGAAAACAATCCGTTAGCTTTTCTATTTTTACTAACTGAAAAAGATGGCCATCATGTTGGCTTGGTGGAGACACTCAGGATAGCAGAGTGCCCCTGGCTAGGGCTGTGGCTGAATCTTGGATGTGGGGCACCAAGTCCTGGGTTAATCTCAGGATCATTCCCACTCTCACAACAGGCCTCTTATGAAGGAAGGAGGCTCTGAGCTCCCAGCTCAGCAAAGCCAAAGAATGACGCCAAGGTCATGAGAAAGTTCCCCCTTCTAACGTGCTGCCATGGCAAGAGCCCACATGTTACCTGAAATCTAGAACAAGATGACAGAGCCCATTAATTATCCTAATGTAACCTCCAGAGTCGGAGGATGGAGAACAATTCCTCCAAGGACAAATGGAGGGAGCTACCTTACTATCTTCCCAAATGCCCACCTCTGGCTTGGAAAAACCAGACCTGGTTTCTGAGCCATCAGCCATCCTAATTAAGGACTCTTGGCTAGCACAGGATCTGCTTTTGGCCAAAAGGCTCTTATCTGGCACCAGGTGGCAAGATGCTGTGGTGGTGGGAAACCTGCCCTTTCTGGGACCCACCTCCCAGACCCTGTCTGTGCACTAAGCTTCCTCTTCATCACACACCCACACTGAGGCCTGGAGTTGTCTCCTGGCTTGGACCCATCGTGCCTGGGGCCGATGTCTGCCTGTGTGTTCGTGGAGCCCCAATTTAGGATCCTGAATGGCTTGCATTAACTTATATCCTAACTTTCGAAGTAACTAGGAAACTACCTCCCTTTGCATTTGGATTCAACTTCTTACAGGATATCTCAGAGTAATGTTGACTCAGACACAACTGGATTGAACTGAAAGCGATATTAGGCCCCTTGTTCTTCCCGACTGTCACATCTAGGCAGATTTGTACAGAACTCTGCATATGCTCACACAGCTCTAAGAAAACACATCAACATGTTCACCATTATCTTTGTTGAGATCAAAGGTGATTTTTGATTGCCTTTACATTTTTTCCCCAAATTTTCTACAGTAATGTTACTGTTATAATCATGAAGAGAAAAGTCTTTGTGAGGATGGTGATAATCCTAATTGGGTTCCATTAAGGAGGAAAACATAATAAAATCTCCAGAATTTTAGTGTCAGCTTCATGCCATTAGAGAGGCCTTAGCATGGCACACACTAATCCATATCTAGAATTTCCTCTTGGCCACCTGCCAGCTCAGACAGGGGTGGGAGTGGGGGTGGAGCTAGGACACCAAGCTGGGAAACAGATCCTGCCTGTGAGCAGGGCACACCAGCAATGGTGACAATACAGCAAAGAACATGTTAGGTTCCCAAGAGCACCCAAATAAGGTGGGAATGGATGGTGCAGAGCAGACAGGAAATGAGTGGCAGGTGGTTCGTTAAGCCAGGTGAAGGGTATCATGGGGTGGGGCTTCACACAGTAGGCATGGGAGCTGATGGCGGGTTTTAGATGAGGAACATGATCAGATCTGTTTTAGAAAATCTTCCAATTGCACTCAGGGTGATGAGGGACACTGAGTGGCCTGAGCAAAGAGGCGCATGGGGAAAGAGGGAAAAGGTTTGCGGAACGTCTAGGAGTCAGGATCAAGAAAGTGCTGTGGAGTGGGGAGAGGAAGGGGCCAAGGTGCTGGTTCTCTGTGGATTTCAGTGGGAGCTGGGAAAGAGTAAAGGCAAGCAGTGCCTGACCACCCTGGGGAGGCTCTTGCACTTGGCCTTCATCAGCCCAGCACATTCCAGCCCCGATCTCTGTGTACTGATCATCCTAAATTTTTTCTGCAGTGAGATGTCCATACAGGAAATGGTGCCAATTCCTCATTCTGCTGTGAGACGTGGAATCCTCCCCACAGACATTTTTGCCTTGGTATAAGGGGCAAACACACTGCTCACCTCTTTTGGTGTCAACAGCACAGACAGCCTGAATGAGATGAGGTGCATTGGACTCCGAGTACTCTACAAAGACCAGCAGCAGCTTCAGGGCCGTCTTCACCACCAGGCGGAACTAGAAGAAAAAAACAAAACCATCAGGCAGTGTACACATGGCCTTGGACTTGAGTACACTCTCCTAACCGTAATCAACACCCAGTACCTCCCGGGCCTCGGTGTTCCTCTTAGCAATTACACAGGTGATTCCTTCACTAATCTCTCATTGGATGCATCAGCAGACGGAGATGAGTATTCTCCCCATTATGCAGACCAGAAAACTGAGGCACAAAGGACCATGTCTATGGTCACAGGGCTAATAGGAAATAGAACCAGAATTTGAATGTGGGACATTTGGCTGCACAGCATACACCTCACAGGTTCCAGCAAATGGGACAGTGTGTACTCAGTTTGCTACTACATTTGATCCCAGCAACTCTGTTAGATGTCTTGCCCTAGGTCACAACAGCCAGGTTGGGTAACAGGAACCTGAGCCAGATCACCCATTTTTGAGAATGTGAAGGAGGATCCCTGGGACCTAGGAACCCATGCTCTTAGGCCCCTCATGCTCTGCAGTTGTGAGGGGCAACACAGACTTCAGAGATCTTGAACTGTACACTCCACCCAAGCCATATGCCTTTTGGTGCCCACCCCTGCAACCTCCATAGCACTGAATTCTTTCAAGGGAAGAGGGAGGCTTATTTACATTGCTTCTCCAAAGTCTAAAACTGCACTTGGCCCAGAGTGGACTCGGAGATGTTTGCTCATTGAATGAATCCACCACTTGACTAACAGGTCAGTCACTCAATGACCCCCTCACCTACCCCTGAGCCTCTATTGCCATATTGTGGTCAGTCAGCTACATCATCTTCATTTGTTCTGCACAAGAGGAAGAGCCAGTGCCTCCCAGAGGTATCTGCTCACATTAAAGTGGTAGGGACACAAGGAGATGCCAGGTAACTCCAGGGAAGGAGCAGGAAGTCCACAGGGAACAGAATAGAACATCACCTACACCAAGTCACTTCTCTAAAGTCATGAGCACCTCTGTCCCCTTGTCTTTGTTTTTCTGCTGTGTTACCTAAGAAACTACCTTTTCCTTGATTCCACATCTCTTTCCAGCCAGTGCCCTAGGGTTCTCAACTCTTATTAATAGAAAAACTTCCCTGAAGAGTGACTATGGCCCCTGAGTGCCCTTTCTAACTTCACATTAACTTCACTCATGGGACTACCACCACCACTTTAGTCTTTTCAAGACCCACAGTGGACTCCATGTTGTCAATCCCAAAGGTCACGTCTCTAAGCCTATTTATCTCAACTTCCAGCAGCACGTGACAGTTTCCTTTGAGTCTCCTATCTGAGCCCCAGTCTTGTGCCTCCAGTATCCACACTGCAGCCAGAGTAACTACTCGACCCTCCTGCTCACCATCCCTAGACCTTGTCATGGCCAGCAACCTGAATGGCTCTTGCAGTCATTAGGTCCTGGCCTCTGCACGCTCTCCAGCCTCCTCTCTGATCACCTCCACTCCTGTTCAGTTTACTACCTCCATCGGCTCTTCAATTAGGTGAGTGTTTCACAGGCCAAGTTTATTCATGACTCAGCTCCTCCTTGCTGTTCTCTGCCTGGAACTAGACCCCCCAACCCCAGGCCTGGCATTTTCTCATCCTTCAGGGCTGAAAAAAATCCCCTCATGGAGAACGCCTCCATGACACCATCTGAAGAGCCCTTGGCTAATACCTCATCACTGATTAATCACCCTTTAACTATTTTTTTGTACTAAGGATTGAACCCAGGGGGCACTTAACCACAAGTCATTGTCCCCATATCCCTAGTTTGTTTTTTTGTTTTTTTTTTTTTTTAAAGAGTCCCATTAAGTTCCCAATGCTGATGAGAGGTGGGAGGGAAAGGGAGAGAGAAGGGAAAATGCATGGAAATGGAAGGAGACCCTCAGAGTTATACAAAAGTACATACAAGAGGAAGTGAGGGGAAGGGGAAAAATAATATAAGGGGGACAAACGAATGTCAGTAGAGGGAGCAGAGAGAGAAGAGGGGAGGGGAGGGGAGGGGAGGGGAGGGGGGATAGTAGAGGATAGGAAAGGCAGCAGAATACAACAGACACTAGTATGGCAATATGTAAATCAATGGATGTGTAACTGATGTGATTCTGCAATCTGTATATGGGGTAAAAATGGGAGCTCATAACCCACTTGAATCAAATTGTGAAATATGATATATCAAGAACTATGTAATGTTTTGAACAGCCAACAATAAAAAAATAAAAAAATAAAAAAAAAAAAAAAAAAAAAAAAAAAAAAAAAAAAAAAAAAAGATAAAGAGCAAAGCAGCCCAGTTGGCAAATGTCAACCATCGAGGTTTTCTGCACAAGGGCAGGGTTTTAAGTGCCCCAAAAAAAAAAAAAAAAGTTCCCAATGCTGGCCTCAACTTTGTGATCCTCCTGCCTCAGCCTCCTGAGTCACTGAAATTATAGGCATTCACAACCACACCTGGCTTTTCACATCCTTTAGCAAGACCTGAAACTGCTATGCAGTCATCTTCAGTATCCACTGGGAACTGGCTTCAAAACCCCCATGAATACCACAGTCCATGGGTGGAATTAGATAAAACAGTATTTGCATGTCCTATATACACACTTAATTACTAATACCACCTAACACAATATAAATGCTATGCAAATGGTTGTTATACTGTGATATTTCAGTAATAATGGCCCCCCCCAAAAAAAGAGTCTTTCATGTTCAGTACTGATGATTACTTTTGGAATATTTTTGACGTACCATATGGAATCCAGAGATAGAGGCAGGAAGGGCTGCCCAGCCCACATGTGTTCACCTGCTGTCCCTCAGTACACAGTTACCGAGCAGTAGAGACACTGCCCCAGGAGGAGCTGCTCATCAGTACTGTGCATAAAGGGCAAACCAGCCCATCCTGAGGCTCCTCTTTCCAACCCGTCACACCCTGATAATGTGTGCACCAAGTCTTCTTGGCCTCCAGCTGCCACCTCTGGAGTCTGCAGGTGAGCCAAGGCCCCACCACAATCATGCGGAGGGCACATAGCACCGTGGGCATCATCCTCAGGCACGTCCTCCCCACGCAGGAGACTATCAGCCTTGGAGGACTCTGAACTCGTTACAAGGTTTCTGCTCTCTTCCCCAAATGCTCCTCTGCTTCCCCACTGGGAATAGAGTGAATTTGAGAGTATTTTCTCAACAGTTACAAGGCTGGGGGTACCAGAGGGAAGATATGCTATAATAAACTGTTTTATACACTTAGAGCTGAAGAAATTGCTTCATGTAAATAAAAATCCTAGCAAGTCCAAGCTTGGCGACTTCCTCAGTGGGTAGACTGTTATTATGTGGTTTAAACCTTCTCAATGCCTCCCTGGGAAAGAACCTGGCTGCTGCCCAACCCCACCTACCCTGTTAGTGGGTCCCAGCAGGGGCCCCCATGCCCATCTCATAAAGGTTCCTTCCAAGCGTTCGTGAGGTCACGGGGGGGCCCTGACCTACATGGTCTCAGGCACGCAGAATGCCCAAACCACTCTCCCTTCCAAGGCTAATGAAGGAACCACTGTTTTCTAGCCAAGTCTTCCTTTCCCCTCAGTTTTAACATGCCTATTCATGTTATCCTCTCCTTTGCTGCGAAGGCTGCTTGGAGCTTTTTTGGCACTATAGTTTCACTTTTTAAAAGTTCCCAAACTTTTATGATTCATAATTTTAGACTCAATAGAAGCCAAATTCATAGAAACCTAAGTTTATGTTCATGTACTTTAGGAAGTTTTACTATGTAAGTTAATAGCAAATGTATCAGATAGTTGAAGTAGAAAGAAGAAAGCATCAGAACGTTGATTTTGTGGAAATACCCAGCCCGAATTGCAAGCATGTCCTAACTAATCATCAAAAAGCATTCAGAGGCTCCTCCTCAGAAATTCCTTACTAGCACCACTGGAAATACAAAGACAACTGAGAAAATTCTATGACAAACTCATTCATCCAGAAACTGCTTAATTTAACGCCCTTATGTATCCAGGATGCAGTCAACAACCTCCAAAGCTTAGAACAGCCTCCATGGGGACCACACCCCCAACTCCTCCAGGTCCACATGTACTGTTCACCTCAAAGCTCTTAAAAATCCAACCCTGATGCCACTTGTGCCAACTGTGGACACATTTGCATAGGAGCAGCTATTGAGAGTCCCAGCCCACACCAGCTGGGAAGAAAAATCAGAGACCTAAAGTAGCACCAAGAGTATCACCAAGGAGGAGTGGGAGGAGGCCACACAGATGCCAGAGTGCACATCATTCTGTGGCCTGGAACTGACAGCACCCCAAATGTGTCAGAAAGCATCCGTCCGTCTGAATCTGATTCTCAGCTGTTCCAGGTGCCCCTTGATAGTGTAATGGAGGGTTTTGCTATGGTGATCCAATGCTCAGACACCTGCCCATCCAGCCCCAAGATGAAATCCATGACAACCAATCTTCATTGTTGGGGAGCATCTGATGCTACAGAAAGACTGAGCAGTGACAGGGCCATAGGCAACAAGGAATCTGCATAATGGGTCCAAAGACAAACTAGCTTATGGGGTAGGAGCCAATTCCTCCATCTCTGGAGGTTCTGCTGGTGCTTCCAAAGGCTGTCATGAAAGGAACTCAGACCTGGATGGCAGTGAACTGGCTGACACCATTTAAGTTACCTCCCAATCCAAATTTCTCCACTTTCACTGTCAGCATCAGCAGCTGCTTCCAGATGCCCAGCACGCAGCCAGTTCTGTGAGGGAGTAACAAAGCCAGGACTCTGCTTCAAGGAGATGACCACACAGCTGCTTCAAAGGGACCCTGACCCGCCACATCATACAGACTAAGAATGTTTGTACTGGAGACCCTCAGAGCCAGGTAGCCGAGGATAAACAGTTTTCCCAGGGGGCAGGTCCTGGAGTAAGGATGACGGGGAGGCTCAGAGCGGGCTGTCACACTTCCATGGAGCTGCAGAGCTGTGTGATGGCATTTGGGCTCCTGTTTGCACAAATAATCCCCCTTCCCTCAATCTGGAGAAACTATACTGAGG